TGAACTTCGCAGAACTAACAGCCTTGTCTTCACGCTCTAGAACCAGAAGGCCGAGACATGTTCCTTCCTCGGCCGCAATCGCGAGTTTCAAAAGTCAGCAGCGTACCCAACGCAACATCAACAAATTTTACTCGCCGACCAAGTTCGACCGTCGAGTTGGCACGCCTCGCACATAATCGAATGACATAGTTAGCTTATTAATTACTCAGCATGTGCGCCACGTAGGTTTGGTAGTTTTTAGGGTCAACATTTTGGCACGCCCAGTGGGACCAAGTGCTAAAACTACGAAGTTCACATGATATATCAAGATCACAATCAGGATGAGATTCAACGCCTATTCAAGGAAATTGTCGAGCAACAAAAACTCCTTGACCGGATCGTTGAAGCAAATGAAGAAAGGCAAAAATCTTTCTCTCAAATGATAAAGGTGAAGGTTCATCACAACTTACAAGATCAATGGTTAAATGAAGATAGAGCTCAATTTTATGAGTGGCTCGATAAAAAAAAACGTCATTTGGGTTCAAATCAATTCCATTTAAAGAATGGTTGGATCAAAAGGTCAGGGGGTAATTTTTCGCTCCGGCCATAACCAACATTCGGCCTAAGAAGATTGTCGAGACGGTGGAAGAAGAACCTAGGCCACCTGTTTTTTCAATCGAGACTGAAATTATGGTAGGCCTATAAACAAAAGCTCAAGTTTCTAAGCCACAAATCGACTTAGCAAATGATTCGTTAGAAGAGTGTTTCGATGATGAACAAGGTCGATACACAGCTTTGGACGAAAAGGCCACATCAATTGATATGGTAATTGGAGACATGGTCTTACATGTCGAAACTACGCCAATTGACATGGTTATTGGTGATAAAGCCGATATGGAGAAATCCCATTCGGCTAAGTTATTTGAGTTAAAAGCCGAAATTAACAAAGTAATTATGCCTAGGGGGCATAATAATTGTTCGACACATTCGGCGGCCAATAACAAATCTTTCGTTAAGCCAAACGTATTTGGAGATGATATTTTATTCAGCCTTGGAAAGACTCAAAGTGAAAATTTTGATAGAAAAATATCTCGGCTCGGAATAAAACATCGTTGGCCTCCTCCTCTTTATAGTTCGGCCACTTTCGTTTTCTTCTAAAAAAAAAGATAAGAATAAATTATTTTCTTAATCATCTGGCTAATTAAGCCGATGCATAAGAAAGTAAGGGGGGCAACAAGATAGTGCGGCAATCCAAAAGATGGTGTGCTCGGCTTAAAAAGTTGTTCTTTAGCGGGGCCGAGAAAAGATGTTCGCAGAAGGCCACTTGTGCTAGGTGGTAGGCCTTCGTGTAGCCTAATCCTCACTCGGCGAGATTGGTTTTGGAGTCGGCCGAATGAAACGTTACATATAAGTACACTTTCTCAATTTGACCGATGCCATGCAGACCTTGACAGTGATTGGGGACAAGTGGATTCGGTTACCAATGTTGCAGGCCCTTAGATGCGTACATACAACGTTCTTCCTAGTGGTTGCCGACTTTTTCCACAAAAGTGGATTAGATTTTGCCGAATAAATTTTTTTGGCGATGGTTTCTTGGTAGTTCTCGACCATATGTTTTTCTCGACCAGCAGAGATTTGATAAGTAGTCATGGCATTTGTAGCATGAACTCATGTTAAGAGGACGTAATGCTTAGGCCGAGGGTTAAGAAGGATTTAGTTGGATAAAAAAGGACTTGATCTTAATGACCAAGGGTTGTTGGTCAAGCTCGACCATAGTATAATTTGGCGAGGCAATGTTTACAACAGGACAAATCTTGTCGAATTGAAATCTTGGCCAAAAAGTATGGCATGCAAAGATTGGCATTTGTTTGGAATTTCTTAATCATGGCCGATAACATCATTTAATAGGTCACGAAGTGATTTCTTTTATGACCTTGGTTTTAACAAGGCCATTTTTCTCGGTTCCACTCTTTTTCTCTTAAATGTAGTGGATAGACGAGTAACATGTCGAACAGTTAAGAGCCAGACACAAATGATTAATTTCCTTAACCATTCGGCTTACAAGCCGAAGCTTAAGGAAACTGGGGGGCAATGTTTGGACCCAAATTTACACCATCGGCCTGTGCAATCAAGGCCGTTAAGTGAGCATAGCTCCCAACCGTTGGATGGAAAAGTGAAGATAATTTTGTTATTATTAAAAGATAATATTATGGTTTTTATCATAATAATTATCTTTTAATGAATTATCTTGACATATTCTTAAACGAGATAAATAGGATGCAGATTATATCCCTGAACAAGCGGTACAATTCAAATTGATGTTGATATTTGGCATGTGGACGTGTGGTTTGGATTAGTTTTGGTTGATAGATATGCACGGCATCAGCTAATGAAGCATGCAGGATGGGATATTATCCATTTAAAATATGGTGATAATAAAAAATGAATTTGAAGTTCATGATGCATGCGGCAGTTTTGGTAAAAGATGATGAGAGCCTAGGAAAGCTAGGTTTTTGGTGATGATGTGGTCATGTGATAAGCCTAGGATTGGGTGGTGATGGAGTTATGATAAGAAGCCTAGGTAGGCTAGGTCTTTGGTCATGATGGGATAAACCTAGATGGGTTTTTATTTGAAAAGTCAGTCACATAGATCATATTTCATTCTGCAAGTTAGAGTTGCAGTTGGACTCCACAATTATCTAGTCGTGTCAAGCAAATATCAACCCTATAAATACAAGGCGCTGTGCAATGTAAAGGGGACCTCCAACTCAACACACAAACTGCCCTGCGCAAACCCTCGCTCTACGCGAAACCTCTCAAACATCTTAAGATTTTTATTTTCTTTTTCGCCAACACATCTTCAGTTTAGATAAACAACACTGTGAAGGCAACCGGTGAACATCTTCAGTTTGGATAAACAACATTGTTGTCGTAGAGTCAACCGACTGCGAAGCACCTTCAGTTTGGATAAACAGCATTGCGACGAGGCCGACTGGCTATCTATCCAAGTTTCAGTCGAGAAGGATTTTCAAATCCTTATTGGCAGAGGTCATCTCATTAGCCTTCTTGGCGAAGTGAGGTGTTACCAGGTTACTACATTCGGCACCCTGAAAGCCGAATTTGATATTGAATTTCACAGAACTAGCAGCCTTATCTTCAAGCTCTAGAACCCGAATGCCGAGACGTGTTCCTTCCTCGGCCGCAATCACCAGTTTTAGAAGTCAGCAGCGCACCCAACACAACATTAACAAATTTTACTCACCGGCCGAGCTTGGTCGTCGAGTTGGCACGCCTGACACACAATCGAAAGACGTAGTAAGCTTATTAATTACTCGGCATGCGCGCCACGTAGGTTTGGTAGTTTTTAGGGTCAACAAATATTCTATTCAATCAATGAAAAGATATTTTCTCAATATGTTGCTTGTCCCAAAATGCAGCTATAAGATAGAAGCCGTAGCCGGAAATTTAACCTGGTGAGCGGGCAGCTTTGAGCTTTTTGTGGGCTGGCAAGGAGAAAAGGCTTCGAGCAGCAGATTCCTTGTCATGAACCAGAGACTGGGGGACTTGGTAACTCATGTAATGAGAATCTGGTAACCCTTTGTTGAGGGTTGTTCATGCATGAGAATCTGGTGACTCATGTAATGAGTTCAATTCATCAGGGACATGGTCCAACACCATATTCACAGAGTTGCCTTTGTAGGCATCAGGGACCACTCTTGCACTTGCAGGCATGGTAGAGAGAGAGATAGAGACAAAGGCATTAGGGACCACTCTTGCACTTGCAGGCATGGTAGAGAGAGAGAGAGAGAGAGAGAGAGAGAGAGAGAGAGAGAGAGAGAGAGAGTATTTGATGCCCTTAGCTAGTGAATATATAAGCATTGTCAAAGCTTCTCAAACCCAATAATTAACCTCTATCACATTTATGTACTATATGACGTGACAAATGATATGTTAACCTCACTGAATGAGATAAACTCATTAATAACATGTACAAATCACTTACCACATCAAATCAAACACTAATGTGGTTAATATTTTCCAACAATAAAAGAAAAGGATTGGTAGAAAAATAAGAGGAGTCAAATTCTCAACTCTATAAACTATAAATTAAGGAAAATATCAAGGAGATTATATTTTTGTACCACATTTGTATACCATTCTGATATAACAAGTGGTGTGTATATGTCACGTCAATTAATAAATTTATCTTAGTGGATGTTGATTGTATGCATCGCTTTCCACATGAAATGGTATAAATTTGTGATCTCCCTAGCAATACTCATAAATTAAACCTTTGAATTTGATTTAATGAACTAAAACATTTAAAATTGAAAGAAAATAGTGAAATACGAAAAGAAAAAAAAAACAAATTCATTAATAAAGGGATGTGGCTTCAATGTTATAAGTATCATTTAATGTTGGTGGTGTTTAAAGCCTTAGATTTGATCTCCACAGCTATTTACCCATAAAAGTTGGATATAAAAGAAGAGGATGAAAAAGGAGTCAAGATGATGACAGGACGTCAGGACCGACAACACAAAAATGAGTGAAATGATGAAAAATGTGAATGCACAAGCATTAAAAATGTGAGAAAAGGATGAAAATTGTGAATAATATCTTCAAAAGATGTGCAATTGGTAGAAGAATAAAAGAAGACAAACGTAAGTCAATACGTAACTGAAATATTTTATCTGTAACCGTTGTTTGTTTCTATGAACTTGAATATATTTTGCCAAAATATATTAGAGGATTATCAATCCATGCATGAATGTAAATGAGAGCATAAACGAGGAACTTGCCATGGTAAAGTAATGGATTGTCCTGGTGATTAGGATTTTCTTATTTTTTAGTTTACATTTTTTCGAGTTCAAACCCTTACTCTTCTCCTTAATGTGAACTGGTATAGAATATCACTTGTAAAAAAAATAACAAATAAAAAATAAAAAAACAAAGAGAAAGTTGCCACCGTCTCTATATATGCACACAGTCCTCACTCTCTCTCACACAGTCCTCTCTCTCTCTCTCTCTCTCTCTCTCTGTGCTCTCCCTCTCTCGTATTACTATTATCTACTATGTCGAGTGGAAAACTCTCAGATGCATTCAAATCCCACCCTATCTTCCTCCACAAGCAACACCCAGACGACTTCAGCTCATTACAGGAATTGCCAGAGTCGTATGCATGGACGTCACAGCTTAACGAATATCCGTCTTTCGAATCATTATCTTGCTCAGAGTCTGTGCCGGTAATCGATCTCGCCGACCCAAATGTCGTTGAACTCGTAGGACATGCATGCAAGACTTGGGGCATGTTCCAAGCCACAAACCATGGCGTCCCCCAAAAACTTGTTGATGACATGGAATCTACTGTTCGAAGCCTTTTCTCTCTGCCACCCCAACAAAAGCTCAAAGCAGCTCGATTGCCCGATGGCATTTCCGGTTACGGTTTCCATCGCATATCTGCCTTTTGTGAAAAGCTAATGTGGTCTGAGAGCTTCACTATCGTTGGCTCAGCACTTCAACATTTTTGCCAACTTTGGCCCCAAGATCACACCAAGTTCTGGTATGTACGCATGCATGGACGCATTACTCCAACCACTAATAATTATATACACTATTTAGACATACAAAACTGGCACTCTATCTAACAGAGGTGTGCTTTACAATATATTGTGTATTCGAAAATGCGTTAGCAATTCAGTATGTTAGTTTTTTGTCTTTAAATTGCATACTCAAATATATATTGCTTATATATGTGTATATATTGTGTTTTTGCTTTGAACTGTGTTTGATTTTTGTTTGGTCAGTTGTGTTACTGAAGAATATGAGAAAGAGATGAAAAGGCTTGCAGCTAGGTTGATGTGGCTAATGCTTGGCTCATTAGACATATCCAAGGAAGACATCAAATGGGCGGGTCCAAGAGGTGAATTTGAAGATGCATCTGCAGCCTTACAATTGAACTCATACCCCGCTTGTCCGGATCCAGATCGGACCATGGGTCTTGCCCAACATACTGATTCAAACCTCCTGTCAATTATCCACCAAAGCGCTAAGGCCAGTGGCTTGCAAGTTTTCCAAGAAGGGAAGGACGAGGGCCGGGGGTGGCTTATGGTTCCACCGGTCCCGGGGGCTTTTGTGATCAATGTGGGTGACTTCATTCACATATTATCAAACGGATTGTACCAGACCCCCCTTCACCGGGCAGTGGTGAACCGGAGCCAGCACCGTGTATCAGTTGCTTACTTATATGGTCCTCCGGAGAATGCTCAGGTCTCTCCCCTCTCGAAATTACTCGGCCCAAGTTGCCCTCCGCTGTACGCGCCCGTCACTTGGAATGAGTACCTTGGAACCAAGGCAAAGCTTAACAACAAGGCACTTCAATCACTCCGACTGAATGCTCCTCTGAATTAGTTGCTGAGTGTACTCATATAACTATGCTGCGTCTTCCTTTGCTTTCTTCTTCCCCGTAACAAAATAATAAAACTTTAATTTCTGCTACATAAGAAATTAAGGGTCTAAATATTTCTTTCTTGCCTTTTGACTTGATATAATATTCATGAATTTAACACAAGGAAAAAGATAGGAAGACAAATATAATACATTTTTGTACAAAAAGTAGAATTTCTAGTCTATGATTTCTTCCTCTTCTTCCCCAGGTCTCTCTGTTCCCTCTCCTTCACCATCATCTTCATCACTGCTATCAACAGAATTCCCGACATCGTTGTTATTTCCAGAATGATTGTTATAAACTCTTCCAACCATGGATTTATCACTTCCCTTAAAAGCATCTTTCTCTACAAGTGAGGACAACTTTTGAGCCACCTCTTCGTCACACGAACTTTCTTTTACCGCTACAGTAGGGAATTTCAAAGGTTTGTCTGGACAATCTTTGAAGAAAGAGTTTGTAACCATGAACCTAAACACCTGCAGCAGGTGGCTTCTGTCTCTCCTAATATCTGCACTAAGAAGCTTCTGCAGCAAGGTTGGCTCCCTTTTGTTTGGCTCCCTTTTGTCAAAAGAAGGGTCACTAGACGAATCCCTTTGATGTGATCTTTGCCTCTTGGAAAACCGATCCTTTCTATCATATTTTTCTCTCTTACCAAACTTGTTTGATGACCTCCCCTTCTTGGTCAATGTTTCATTATCTTCTTTTATATGCCCTTGATTTGAATCTGCGAGGTAGTGCGATGGTACTTCGGCAATTTGAACTCCCAACTCAGCCTGCTTTGTAAGAATATCCTTGAGTTGCTGCAACGAAGAATAAGTAAAACTATCAAATATAAGAAAATGGTGGTAAAGATTTACTTCTTCAAAGTCCGGAACAAAGTCGAGGAAAACCAGTATATCACCTTCTGAAACATAAACATCAAGCATGATACCAGTAATAGAAGAACATTAGTCTCTAGTAACTAGGTTCTGAATAACTTCCAACACTTGCGAATCTAATTAAAAGAAGATGGATGAAAAGACTTGGATTGATTGCATATCAACTAACATCCTCACCCAGACAAAAAACTTGAAGAAGTTACAAATAACAAAGAAGAGCAGTGTCAAAGAGCTCTCATGACTAGATCAAAAATTTCAGGTTTAATGTAATACCAGTGATCTCCTTGAGTAACAATTAGACATATAAGCTACGATGCAGCTTATAGACATACTAACAAAATGCAAAAGTTAACTAGAACTAGCACAGTTGGCCCAGGTGATAATGAGTTGAGCAAAAGTATTGCTCAGTCTTGTAAAACGAGTAGTGTACAAATAATCAGCACGAGCGTGCACACACACACAGAGATAGAGAGAGAAGTAACCAGCACACCTCTCGTCGAATGTTGACCTCTCTTTCAATGACCTCTGAATTTATCAGCTTTTCACTTATCTTCTGCAAGTAGCATTTTAATATTAGAAAATCTACATTTCGATGGAAAGAAAAAAGAAGGCATGTCTCACAGTCAGCCAAACCTTCTCTATGTTGGATTTCGATGGGTAGTGCTTCCTACGTTCTTCCCGCCACCTCTCAATCTCTTGTTCCGTATATGACAAGAAAAGAGATCTTCTCATGTGAGACAGAAAGAAGGCACATCCATACACATAAAAAGAGCGATGAGTTTCTTTAAGAAACAGGAGAGTGTGATCACTCAGAAGGCAAGATGTAAGGATTATGGATGCTGAGAACGTAAAGCTAATTCATGACTAAATTTTGCACAAATACATATTATTGTTTACTCCTATCGGTGAGTGCCTAGGTACCAAGCCCATAATTGTAAAAAGTTTTAAGACTTCTGGAATTCATATATGGCAGTTACAGAAATACTCATCTTAAACTAAAGCGGAAGTATCTTGTTATCTATCCTCTTTCTTCGAGAAACATTATGGTATCATCAATTCTGGGATTACATTAAAATAGTATTTTCAAAGTCTTTGGAACTACAGTCAAACTATGGCCTTTATTGACAAAACCGGTGAAGTTTCAATACTAATATACTGTGCTGCAAGGCAGAAGAACAAGAGGCAAAAACAGTAAGGACCCAGTTGGTATTATCAATACAGTAACTAGCACTGCCAATTTGGCTGAGGTAGCTCAAAGCCCAACTTGTTTAGCTAAACATTTTAGGTTTAGCTGTCTTTGAACTTCGAGTAAGCTTATTCTGGATAAAAATTTGTAGGCCTAAAAAACAGCCTAAAAAACAGATCAGCCCAATTTAGGCCTCACACAGTATCTTCAAATAATTTTTCCATGCCAGCCTGCTAGTATCTCAGCCCAAATACTGCTCTACATAAAGGGCATCTGATCCCTAGGCTCAAAGGTTGGGCTGGGATCAACTCAGGCCAAGGAAATTGTATCTTAGTGAAGTTCAAACATGCATCAGCCTGCCAATTGAAAATCCTACTTTGACTACTCAACTACTCAACCAAGGATTATATTTTGTGACACTGTAACATGGCCATAATAAACTAAGGGCCTGTTTGTAACACTTCCATTTTCGGTTTTCGGTTTTTATATTTTAGTAATAGGCAGTGAAGAAATGAAAGGGAGAAAAGAGGGAGAGATAACGGACAGGGAAGGGAGAGTGATGGATGAGGGACGCAATGTAAATGAAATGACCTACAAGGAAAACCAAAATTTAAACCTCAACGCAATTCCAACAAGAAAAATTAAACACCAAAACAAAAGTGTTACAAAACGAGCACTGAATAATTGAATATGATTATATCTAATGATGTTCTCAACTGATCCTTTTTATCAAATTCCCCTGTGAGAAAAAAGTTCACTAATTACCACTAAAGATTTGGCAGCCTGAAGTTATTCTCCAAATGAAGAAATGGCTCTTTGTTAGATTTTAGAATGCAATAAACTAAGCCAAAAATAACCTCAAAAGATGTAGTGAACCCGCTTTGTTGAAAACCATCTAAACAGAGACAAGTATAATTTAACCAAGAGTATGTTGTTAAACTTATAAAAGAGCAAAAATATCTTCAAGACAGTCTACAAGCCTGAGTGGTGAAATTTCAATTAGAGAAAACTCAGTAATTTGCGGTGAAATTGCAATTAGAGACAACTCATTAATTCGCATTCAAAACTATGATATGATAGAGCAGAGGTTACCTCTTCCTTTCCCTGCCCTGGTTTGAAGAGTTGGCCAGAGAAAACTTTCCTTCACTCTCATTTCTTAACCCTGCAATTTTGTGGACAGAGAGAGTGAGGGACTGATGAATGAACATCATGCTTACAAAAAGTATTCTTTTGAAAAAAAAGTAACAGGAAATCATGGTTTATGATATCTCTGCAATCCATGCTCAAGCATGCACAATGACATTAAAAGAATAGGGAGGAAAGATACTATATAAACTTGGTAGACAGGTATAAGTCCATACCTTTTCCCTTGTGCCCATTAGGAAAAGAGAACTTTCCCTTTGCATTTTTCATATGATGCGCCTGAGGATTCTGAAATCTACAAACCTATTTATTATGAATCACAAGTATTGGTCCAAATCTTCAGAAGTAAAATAATGAAATGACACTAGTATAACCTACCCGCCTTGGTGATTCTTCGGATTCTTTGTAAAGCTTTTGCTTGGTGATTGTTTCCAATTGGAATTTGAATTGTAACCACCACTACTATTTGTTTTATTTTCCTGCACAAGCTGACAACATTTTTATCAACCGCAACCAATGGATTTACTTCAAAGTAATATATTCTATAAGCAACTAACTGTTTTTAAGAAAATGTACTTAATAAAAAATGATGGCAAACTATCTATATCAAAGTTAACAGAAAAAGAAGGCAGGAAATTTTGACAGCCAAATGATGTATTTTAAAAAATAATGGCCTTACTATATCAATATAATGTAACAACCTTGTCCATCGAATTGTAACCCACAATAAAGTGACCTACTAATCAGTATATGTAAATTAACCACCAAGTACACACATATACACAGACAACGGTTATTTCGGAATTTACCATGCCCTTGTAAAACATTACAAACTAAGTCTGTTACCAAATTTAAAGAAAACAAAAAGTAAGGCTCCATTTTATAACCATTTTGGATTTAGTTTTCATTTTTCATTTTACTTTTCCAGTTAGAGATAAAGGGGAAATACATGGGAGCAATTAGGGATATAGAAGGGTGGGAGGAAGGATGGTGGAAGAGATGTAGAAGAAATGTATAAGGAAATGTACACAAAATGAAAACTAAAAACCAAAAATAAACATTTTGTTTTCATTCATACATCTTTATTTCTTCCCCTCTCTCCCACCAACCTTCTTCGTCCCTCCTTTTTCCCCATATCTTAAACACAAAAATTGAGAACAAAAAAAACTAAATACGAATTGGTTATCAAGCAGATAAATAAATGCAGGGATATTCAAGTAAAACTTTTTGCAACAAAGAATATAAATTCATATCCGCAAGGCAAAACAAAGTTACCTGTGTCCCTTGCACTGGGGGTAGACCCAAGTTTTGCTGATTTTGGTTAACTTGCTGGCCTGCCTGATTAGAATGCAGATTAGCCCGGTTATTTGCAAACAATGGGACATTTTGAGACATTGTGGTCTGAGGTGCTTGATTTGATACCGGAAAACCATAATTAGGACGGACTTGTGGTGGATTTTGCATTTGCATTGGCACAAATTGATTCATGTTTTGCATTGAATTGGGCAAACAAAATTGTCCATACGGCAAACCCATATTCTGGTTCATCTGTTGCTGTAAATTTAACATGTTATGCCCAAATATTTGCCCAGGCACTTGAGATGACATCAATTGATTCACTTGCTGCACCAAATTGCAGAATTGAGGCATACCTTGCGAACCGAAAAACCCAACATTCGGCTGACCCGGTTGAGATGTAGGGCCAATGGAACCGAATTGAGGCATACCCAGATGGTTATTTTGCATAGGAAGAAGGTTGTTTGGTAGATTCATGAAATTGGGTAGAGCTATCATGGAATTGGAATTACTAAATTGGACTGGAATTTGGGGATTCCTGATACCCAATTGAGGT